CAGAAGTTGACTATTGAAAATTGAAGAGAATGAAGGTCTAGCCTCCGACCTCTCATAAAAAATTTAATTATCGCACTTTTTTTACTTTTGTAAGCACTTATAAAAATGTTGATGTTTTTTAAATAACACAGTATCATTTTCCAATGAAAAATGTAAACAACTAAATTACATTTGTCGTTTCTATTCAAAGACTATTTAGAACAAATATTCAAGCAACGATGTACATCTCATATGTCCTAAGGATATCTCGAGAACATGAATTTCAAACATCGCAAAGACGTCTCTCTCACATGTCCTGAGGACATTCTGAGGACGCGAATTTCAGACGTCGCTACGACGTGTCTTCTGGTACATCTTGCAGATGTCTCCAGCACGTGAATTTCATACGTCATTAGATGTCCTATTTCAGACAGCTTTAAAACATCTTTATTAGGTCCTAGGACATTCAGACCTAAAACAGCTATAAAACAGACATGAAGATGTCGTGTGCTATCTGGGTATTGATTGCACTAACGATAAGTTTCACGAGAAACGTGCGTATCTCCATCGTAGACTTCCTCTGTAAGAGTAAATATATGTTTTGTATTTTCGACTGACTTTTACATGATGAATATACTTCTCTCCGGTTGTTCCAGAATTTCCTGTACACCCTGTAACGTATCAAATATTTTGTTTAAAAAAAGATGAGATCAAATTTCTGCCGTTCACAGCACCAGAGACATGCAGTACAACGAGGAAGAAAATACCGTCCGTATGTACCTGAGGGGTCGACCCGTGGTCCTTTATGTGCCAACACCTTTGATGGATACCTACGATCTTCGCAAAGTCAGCACACCACCGCAAAGCAAACTAAAGCTCAACTGGGTTTACGGCTACCGTGGTAGAGACTGTCGAAGTAATCTGCATCTATTGCCAACTGGGGAAATTGTTTATTTTGTCGCGGCAGTGGTGGTGCTGTACAACATGGAGGAACACAGCCAAAGGCATTACTTGGGCCACACGGATGATATCAAATGGTGGGTCATGTGAACTCAACTGTGAATCCGCGCAACATAGCCCCCTTGTACAATTGAACTAATATTATTAGTGAAATCTTAAAAGACACAGGCTAGAAGTTACCAGTGCTAATAAATTCTCTTGAACACTAGAAAGTAGTTTCTTAATGCAGGCAAAAAGATACATAGCATAAACCCTGACACAGTTCTCATTTCACAGGACCACTTAAGAAACGGAATTAATTTTCTATACGACACAAACCTTTAGTCGAAAATCTAATTACATTAAAACATCGTAATACTCGACTGAACTTTGCCGCTAATAATCTGTATGTACAGGGTGTTCAAAATGTGGGACATTTTCACAGGGTGAATTCTACATATCAAACTTGTAAGAAGAAAATCAAGAATAACGAAAATGCACCCGAGGCTTCATTTCCATGTTATTAGTTGTTGAAAATGTGGGCAATGTATGCGCTATAAGTTATACTACTTAAACAGTTGTTCCGCAGCTGATATACATATCTACATGGTTGATTGATAAACTTATTAAACTTATGAATGAATTCAAATCAAATAAACGAACCAACTCGTGAAACAATTGAAGAGGGTGCCCCTCAAGTAGAATAACTCATCGTGTGAGGCGTATTTTACGCTGATTTCACCTGTACTTTCAACAATTAATAACTCGGAAACGAAGCCTCGAACGCAATTTCGTCATTCTTGATTTTCTTCTTACAAGTTTGGTATGTAGAATTCACCCTGTGAAAGAGCTTCACATTTGTATTAGCATCTTGTATAGTAGTCGATGTGACGTGAACGAAAAAAAATAAGTTGGGTTCCACAAGTACTTTTATAAATTACGAGTCAGTTGATTCGTATTTACTAGTCAGGTAGTCCCATAGATATAGAAATATAGACAGCGTATCTCCTTGGAAACAGGCGTTTCAAGTTTGGAAAGAGTTAGATAGCTTTCAGTGGACTTGTCATCTATTTTTAAATCTAAGTGGTGAGGAGTAACCCTGATAACCAGTTGCGTACAAGTTTCGAGCAAATTGCCAGCAGTAAATGACAAAAGTTGTCTCAAAAACCATAGCCATCTGGTTCCACATTTGACTTGGCTTTTTCAGGCAACGACGGCAGCTGACAAATGGTAAAGAAAATTGGCAGAAAGTCTTGCAACATGACCTATGTCAAATTGAGAGCAAATCTGGAACAAGATTTGCGTAAGCCAAATTGCTGCTTATGTTGCTGTCAATTTGCTGCCTATGTTGCTGCCAATGTGCGCGTGAGATGTTTATAGCAAATCTTCCATAAAATTTGTAGCCATAACTTTATGACAGGCATTGGACAAAATTTAACTCTGCAAGTTTGGAAGGTTCTGGGGGTCTGGGGTTTGAATGGTTGATACAGCAATATTAAAAAGGGACAGCAAGTTCTCCGACAGAAATCCGTCTCTTTCTAAAGCTGGGACGGCGACCCAGCCTGATGTGCAGTCTACACTCCTATTTCTATGGCTAGTCCTATGTCACGTTTGAGGTTAAGTTAGAAACACATTAGTACACTTCACGTGAAATCGTTTGAGGCGAAATGAGACGAAAATCAAGAATAACAAAATTGCGACATATCCTTCGTTTGTTAGTTGTAAGCGTTTAAAAATTGACCCAAATCATGGCAATCCGCGCGCACGGAGTGTCAGCGAATCACGGCTCGTAAGCGGCGTACAGTCACATTAAAGACTCAACGACGTGCAGGAGCAGTTCGTAGAACAACTGTCTACTTACCCCATAGAAGATGTCAATAACTTGTGCCCGCGGTATCTGAGTCGAAACCACTTGTATCGCATTAACTCTGATTACTCGATAAAATTCGCAAGAAATGTAAATATCTTCATAAGAATCTCATCGAATAGAGAGGGTAAATGCCCCCTCTAGTTGTCACGTATAACAATTGTCCTGTCCACGAGTATCTATGAAATTAATCGCCACATGCACGTACACCACAGAAGTCCGCGAAAAATTTCCACCCACACTACGCGATTGTCCCATCCGCCAAAAATGTCCCCACACTGCGCGATTAATTAGACCCGCGAGCGCTTCCTCCGTTTGGTTTGATACTCTACACGTTACACAAAACTAACACTCAAAATAATTAATATACAACTATTTAACACTAATTATTAACCTACACTAATTAATTTATAACAACTATTTATACTAATTTTTAATACGCAATAATGAATGAAACCTACAATATATAATAAAACCTGCAATATTTAATAAAACCTACAATAATTAATAAAATCCACAATACTTAATAAAACCTACAATAATTAATAAAATTTACAATAATTAATTTGCACTATTTATAACAACGACGTACGCGACACTACTAAATAATCACTACGTAATCGTTAAATAAACTAAAACTTAGTTTTCCGAACATGAACTCTATTTGCTCGTATAATGTAAAGGGCACCGTCCGAAAAGGATAACTGATATTATTGAACTGATCCTCCCTCATTAGGATCGATGTGGCGTAATGGGTCGATCCTCACTCTTTCATAGTCAATACCTTTTGGGAAGGAAAAGCTGCATGGGAAAGTGTCTCGGAGGTCGTGTTTCTTTTCGTATATTCTTAGTGCAACATCTGTATTTTCTTCTCATACACCACTCGGGGCCACTTGGCCACGTTGCCGAGGGTGTGCGAGTCTGGACATTATAAAACTATCCCTTTTCTTCCGCAGGGCGACCACTCCCGGATTGCTTGTAACGTGTAACTGCCATCAACGAAGACCTTTTTTTTTTTCTTACGCGGGGGAAATGCCTTATGCACACCCCGGAGTCCTGGGGTGGGACTCCGAGGTAGTGTGGGACTCGCACCCACAAAAACCCCCGCGGCAGACTTCTCGGGCGGAACTCGGCGGTGGCGGGATCTCGTATGAACGCTCCCCCACCGCCGCGCCTGTGCTCTCCTTATCGCGGAGCCCGTTCCGTGGGGGCGATCGAACGCCCCCCAGAGGTGACCGATTCCCCGGTCACCCCCCCTTCTCTACTCCGCCAGCGTCAGAGGACTGCACTCCGACGCCGGCACTACCGGGCCGCTTTGGATGCAGCCGGGGACCCCACCGCGACTGCATCAGCGTCCCCGGCGGACGCGCGCGCGAAGGCGGGAGCCACAGGAGCCGAAGCTCCGGCTCCCGATGTCCACGCACGCGTCCGCCCATACACACAGGCCTCGCCTGCCGGGGAGCGAGGAGACGCCTACGGGAGTAGGCACATTACTGTGCGGGCCCCACGGCCTCGCCCACGACCCCGCCTCGCTCTCCTCCTCTCTCGACGAGCGGGATCGCGCGCCTCGCGGTCCCGCTCGTCGTCCTCCTTCCGCGAGATGACGGTCTCACAGAAAGAGAACACCGCCCTCCACGACCTCTCGCTCCCCACCATGGCCGCAACCACGGCCGGGAGCGAGAGGTCTCCCCCTATCTCTAAACGGAGCGCCCGCCTCTCCCTGGCAAAGGCCGGGCACTCCTCCAGCACGTGCCGCGCGGAGTCAACCTCCGCGCTGTACTGGTGGCACTCTGCCGTCGCCTCAGCTCCAACCTTCTGCAGGTACTCCCCGAAGCATCCGTGCCCGGTGAGCACCTGCGTGAGCCGGTAGGATAGCCTGCCGTGCCGACGGTCCAGCCATCCATCAAGGACGGGCAGGACCGCGCCCACGGCTCGCTGCCAAGCGGCGCCGCTTTCACACAGCTGGCGCTGCCACTTTTCGCGAGCGAGCCGCCGGCCCTGGCGATCAACGAAGACCTTGTCTATTGTGTCTTCGGCTGTCCCTCTTCACATTAACTTGTAAAAAGAACTTTCAACCTCGAATTCCAACTCCATGATGGAAACGGTTCATATTACACCAAATGTATGTGTTTAACAATTTTCTTTATTTTATTTTATGTAGTTTCTTTATGTATCGTAATGCAGGTGCGGCAAATTACGTCTTAGTTTCATTCTAATATCATTATACGTTTTGTATGATCCATATTAGTTGCATATTATTTTTGTGCGGATACAAGAACCTGAAACACTTGAAGTAAGATCGAAGTGGTAATGAAATGTGCAATGCACATAAAACATACAGTAAGTCAATATTCAAAATTTCAGGAATAAAGATATTATCCTATCGGGCGAAACTCCGAACGATAAGCAATTAACGGATACACTCGTTTAAAAACATCATTCAGCACCCCGCGACGGAGGACAAGCTCGTTTTAGTTCGTTTACACCAGTCATCCCCTGAATAAAAATCATTCAGGTATGAATGACACCAACCGCTTACGGTTGACCAATGAAGGCGGCTTGCTACCTGAAACAGAGCGCGCCGCTGTTTTGACTTGCTTAGTGTGAACTTAATTTCATTACTTTCAGTTTTAAAAAACATCATATTTTTGGATAATATGACCGTGTGGGGTAAACGAACTGTATGAAAATTTGTCTGTGAAAATTCGAAACATTTCGCGGTGGTGTTGTTATTTTCTCGGCATTTACATCTCCGCACTTCGTTTACCCATCAGACACGCACACATACCGAAAGCCATCACGGTCTCCTCGTCGACCGCTGTGTTACGACTGACTTTAGATTACGATACGAACAATCCAAAACCAGAAGAAAAAGGTATTGTCCTTTCTAGCGAAGCGTCGAGCGAGGAACAATTAGCGTCAACCATATCAGATCGTTCCGTCCTGTTCGACCTAATAAAACGCCTAATTTCGAAAACTGATTGCGGCGCTCGTTTGGAAACTCCGGCTAGGCGGGCGATTTATGATGATATGGTCCTCCGTCGAGGGGTACTGAAAATTAATTGCTTATCGTTCGACGCTTCGCCCGATCGGATAATATCTTTATTTCTGAAATCTTGAATATTGACTTACTGTATTTTTTATGTGCATTGCACATTTCATTACCACTTCGATCTTACTCCAAGTGTTTGAGGTTCTTGTATCCGCACAAAAATAATATGCAATTAACATGGATCATACAAAACGTATGATGATATTAGAATGAAACTAAGATATAATTTGCCGCACCTGCATCACGATGCATAAAGAAACTACATAAAATAAAATATAGAAAATTGTTAAACACATACATTTGGTGTAATATGAACCGTTTCCATCATGGAGTTGGAATTCGAGGTTGACAGTTCTTTTTACAAGTTAATGTGAAAAGGGACAGCCGAAAACACAATAGGCAAGGTCTTCGTCGATGGCAGTAACACGTTACAGGCAATCCACGGGTGGTCGCTCTGCGGAAGACAAGAGACAGTTTTTGAATGTCCAGACTCGCACACCCTGGGCATCGTGGCCAAGTGGCCCCGAGTGGTGTATGAAAAGAAAATACAGATGTTGCACTAAGAATATACGAAAAGAAACACGACCTCCAAGACACTTTCCCATTTAGCTTTTCCTTCTGAAAAAGTATTGACCATGACAGAGTGGGGATCGACCTATTACGCCACATCGATCCTAACGAGGGAGGATCAGTTCAATAATATCAGTTATCCTTTTCGAACGGTGCCCATTGCATTCTACGAGCAAATAGAGTTCATGTTCGGAAAACTAAGTTATAGTTTATTTAACGATTACGTAGTGATTATTTAGTAGTGTCGCGTACATCGTTGTTATAAATAGTGCAAATTAATTATTGTAAATTTTATTAATTATTGTAGGTTTTATTAAGTATTGTAGATTTTATTAATTATTGTAGGTTTTATTAAATATTGTAGGTTTTATTAATTATTGCAGGTTTTATTAAATATTGCAGGTTTTGTTAAATATTGTAGATTTTATAAAATATTGCAGGTTTTATTAAATATTGTAGGTTTTATTAATTATTGCGTATTAAAAATTAGTATAAATAGTTGTTATAAATTAATTAGTGTAGGTTAAAAATTAGTGTTAAATAGTTATAAATTAATTATTTTGAGTGTTAGTTTTGTGTAACGTGTAGAGTGTTTATACCCAACGGAGGAAGCGCTCGCGGGTCTAATTAATCGCGCAGTGTGTGAACATTTTTCGCGGTCGGGACAATCGCGCAGTCTGTGTGAACATTTTTCGCGGACGGGACAATCGCGCAGTGTGTGTGGACACTTTTCGCGGACTTCTGTGGTGTACGTGCATGTGGCGATTAATTTCATGGATACTCGTGGCCAGGACAATTCTTATACGTGACAACTAGAGGGGGCATTTACCCTCTCTATTCGATAAGATTCTTAAGAAGATATTTACATTTCTTGCGAATTTTATCGAGTAATCAGAGTTAATGCGATACAAGTGGATTCGACTCAAATACCGCGGGCACAAGTTATCGACATCTTCTATGGGGTAAGTAGACAGCTGTTCTACCGGCTTTTCCTGCACGTCGTTGAGTCTTTAAAGTGACTGCACGCCCCTTACGAGCCGTGATTCGCTGACACTCGGTGCGCGCGGATTGCCATCATTTGGGTCATTTTTTAAACGCTTATAACTAACAAACGACGCAGTTGTCGCAATTTCGTTAATCTTGATTTTCGTCTTATTTCGTCTCAAAGAAACACTCCTTAAATTTTTTCCTACTAGTAGTCGAACATCCTGTATACGCCCAGTCAGCCAAGTTATGGCTATAAGTTTTATGCAAGATTTGCTATAAACACTTTGCGCGCACATTGGCTGCAACATGTGCAGCAACCTGGTTTGCGCAAATCTTGTTCCGGTTTTTCCCTCAATGTGACATAGGTTATGTTGCAAGACTTTCCGCAAATTTGCTTTACCATTTTGTCAGCTGACGTTGCCTGCAAAACCCAAGTCAAATGCGGAAACTGATAGCTATGGTTTTTTAGACAATTTTTAGACAACTTTTTAGAGCAATTTGCTCGAAACTTGTGCAAAACTGGTTATCAGAGCGTATTTGTAAACAGCGTAACGTGATTATAACATGCTTGCAACAAAGGAATGAAGATATGTTGGCACACACTCTACGAATGTCACTTGAATTGTGATCTTAATGTGTTTCTACCTTTATCCACCTCTTGATAAAAGTTCACAAATCAGAGAAACATCAACGTGAAAATGAAATTATCAGTCTACCAATTCTTGTAAAAGTTTTAAAAGTAAATTTGTATAACTTGTAAAATCGTATTCATTGTGCAACGACACTTATAAAATGTATCTACTAATAATATCTTAGTGATTTAACTTGTGGCTTGTAAATAGTATGAATTGTGTGTGCAACATAAAACTAGAAGTTACAATTTATAACTTGTAAATTCATCAATATTATTAATTGATAAGTTATTGTATAAGAGGTCCCTGATCGTAAAAATGACGCGCAAACATTAATAGGCCGTTGTTTCTGCGCTTTCTTTTTTGTCTCTCGAAGAAAAGGAATGCTAATTAATTATTGTATCTTCCCCGAAATCGTTTAGTCGCGAGTGCAAGATTTCAGAAAGCTGGACTGAAAGTAACGAAATGAAAAAAGTTGGGGAAAGTGATCTTTAATTTCGAGATAAAACACCACCAAGCATGTCTTGTTTTGCACTCATTCGCTTTAAACGTAGTGTTACTTCACGGAGAAAGGATAAATGGTGGGCCGTGTGGGTGTTTCGGTTTCTGGAAGAAAACTTGCATTTTAGATTTTACTTCATTCACGCCGAACCGTTCCCATTCCAGTTGTATCAGTGGTTTTACTCCGTCTTCCGTATTTTAGTTTATTTAGATTAACTACAATTATAAAATGTAGGTACGTTTTGTTTAATTATGATAATGTTTCACGTCTTTATTATGAAGTAATGCAAATTTGGAAGAGGAATTGTTTAAAGAATTGCGTAATATGGGCGAATTCAAGGCTCGTTAAGTCTAGTGTATAAACTTCTTTCGCACGTACCCGCATACATATGTATTTTTGTGTATTTCAGCATGGCGATCCATCCAAACAAGCTGGTAGTCGCTACTGGTCAAGTGTGCGGAACTGATAGACGGGATGCTATGGTAAGAACACGAATAATATGTTAAGTTACTGCATAAACTCCGACTTACTTTTTCGAAAGATGAAAAAAAAAGATTCCAATACACGTTGAGAAGCTACCTGTTTGAATATAACTTGAAAAGTAGCTACAGTGAACCGCATTAATATTCGGACACGGTAGTATTTGGAAATATATTTGTTGTGTATCTGAAAATAAGGGACTCATTGTTTTGTGATAAGTAAATACACTTATTCTAATTGCTAGAAATATAACATTTTTGTATCTAATTTATATAATTTTGTGTGTATTAAAAGTGGTAAGCAAAGTAATGCCTAATTCTGACACTGTAAAAATATTCGGACATGACATATGCGTCGCAGTTTGGTCGTCCTGTTAAGTTAGTTAGTTTGCTCAGTAGCAATGTTTGTCAACACAAGATGTAATGTACTGTACTATCTCGTAGAGTCAATTTCATTTCAAAATTCACTCTTTCCGCACATAATAGTTGTGTAAATGAGACGTAATGGTAAAAATAAGTCGTTCGATACACGTCACCTCGTTAGTGGTCATGGTGAAAAGGGAAAATTGTGTCGAGAAATCGGTACATTACTAAATTTGAGTAAAAGTACTGTAACGGATATTATATATGTAGAGATATAATCGTGAGGATAGAATTGAATCTGTTCCTTAAAACGATCTTCCAAAGATATTCGATGTTCGTGACAAACATAATATTAGAAATGTAAATAAAAGTTCATTGTGGATACAACGGTTTAGAGTTCTCCGACGAAGCCATACATTAGAGATGCTAATCGAAAGAAGATTACTCTTCTCCACAGAATACATTTCTAAAGAAGAAACATGGTGGAGATACGTAATTTTTGCTGATGAGAGTAATTGTAATATTTTTGTGTCCGATGAACGAAAACTGGTATAGCGTATAGTAAATGAAGAACTTCAGACTAAAAATTTGAAATCAACCGCGAAACACAATGACGCAAGTGTGTCGTTTTGGGGTTGTGTTTTGGCTGTTGGAATGGACAAATTAACTTTCTTTGACGGGATATTAGATAGAAATAGATATTTAGATGTTTTGAAACAAAATCGAATAGATAGTGCTATTAATATGAATACTTGTAACAGTTTTTAATTTTATCAAGATTATGATCGAAACATAAATTATGTACAGTTTAAGACTATTAACTAGTTGAAAATTTGTGGGATTGCTTAGATCGTTGAATCAGAACATCACCCATAAATTCGAAAAAAGAATTAAAATGACAACTTATTCAATTAAAATACTTAAATAAATTTATTTTTAGTATGCCCAAACGTTTAAACTATGTAATTAAATAAAAGGGAAATCCAATAAAATACAATTGAAATTGAACTGTTTTTGTTAAAGCATATATATATATATATATTTCAAATGAAAGCATTATACTTTGTAGAGCGTCCGGATGGTTTTGCAACGTAAAAATTAGGCATTATTTCGTTTATCATTTATTAACAAGATAAGTGTATAAATTAAATAAATGAATGTTATGTTTCTAACAACTAAAGTAAGTGTTTTATTTTACTAAAAAAAACAACGAATACATTAATCCAAATATGTAATATGGATATACAGTAATAACTTCTATTACTTCTCAAGCACCATGCTGTGCAAATGTTAATGCGGCTCACTTATATTAATAGCTCACTGTACACTGACGAACAAACTTGGCTTCCTCTAGGGAAAAAAGCAATGTATAGGCAATGGATTCCTACCGCTTGATAAATTTACATCAAATACTGAAATAAATTTTAAACCGAATGTTAATTTGGCATTTTCAGTAATTCCGAGACCAAGTGGTATGAGGTCTTTCCCTTACATCACTTTTTCCCCTAGCGGAAGGCAAGTTTGCTCGCGAGGGTACATCAAAACCGGATTGACAAATGTAACGTGACGCAGAGCACGAATTTATAGCGTTCTCAATAAAATAAACTGCTGTCTAATGTATCTTTGAAACGGTCAGAACTTTTGCATCAACCAAATATATACGAGATCGGATTGAAAAGTTTTGTCCCCACTTTAATGAAACAGCAATGGGTGAATATAAATTAAGCCTTCGTAGGGCGCAATATGTTTCGCAACATGATCGGGCACGATGCGCGATGTGTCTAGGAAACAATTCATTGTATGGTGTTTATTCTCTTTTCTTATGAGATAATATTCTTATTCTTTTTGAAAATGATTTATTTAACTATTTTATGGACAGTATGAATGGTATAGCAACATTAGGTTAAGAATTAAATGTAGCAGAAACACTTAATGTAACCAAATACAAAAGAAGAAATTAATTTATACTGTTCGGGCATTTCAGTTGTTTCATCGATGTAGAAATAACAATTGCAAACGAAATAGGCATGCGTTCAACAAACTGCATTCATCCATGTTTTATATTCAAATTTTGTAAGACGCTGCACGCCAGTTTCAATGGTGGAAGTAGTACGTCTTCGTTTCTGAGGTGGTACTGTACTAATTTCTTCTTGATCTTCTTCCGTGATGTTCAATTTTGTTCGAAGTACTAGATACATAGCTACTGTTTTTGAGTTTCTTCTCGAAAATTCATCCAAAACATATTCGTGGAAAGAGATAGCAAGTCCTCTGAAAGTAACCCGTCTCTTTCTAAAGTGTAGACTCTGCCCGAGCCTGACGCGCACTCTATATTTCTATTTCTATGGGCCGGTTGCACCCGACGGAGGGTTAACAGAACAAAAATGAATCTGTAGCTTTATTATTTATTTACAAAACTACGTAAAGATTTTTCAACGTAATCTCCTCTGACCTCGTTATATTTCTGCTAGCGTGTTGTAAGTTTATGTAGTCCATCATTGAAAAACTCGGAAGTTCGTTGTCGAATCTTTGAACTAATGCTGCCTTCATGTCCTGGTCGAATTTGAAATGTTGACCATCCAAGTGTTCTTTCGTATTCGGAAGGAGATGGAAGTCACTTGTCAAACACCGTTTGTGTGCGGCCTGGCGTTGTCACGGAGTTATTGGAGGTAGTGGCGTTGTTGGAGAAGTAATTTATCAGACCGTTTTCCTTTCCTCGTGATACGTCTTTCCATTTCGTTAAGCCTTCAATAAAACATTCAGAATCGACTGTGGTCGCTTTTTCCAAAAAAAAAAAACTGTCCACACCACCCCTTGGACATTCCAAAATATGATCAACATAATCTTTCCTGTTGGAGGGTGTGTTTCGAACACTTTTTTGCTATATTAACTCTTTATAACGGTACTCTATGGACTGTCTTTAGCTACTCCATTACGTTGCAGATGCGAACAAAGTTCAGGGATGATTCATAGTTTGCACTGGAAATGATCGTTTTCAACGAAAATAACACAAAGGGGACGAAACATTTCAGCCGGCCTCACACATACAGATGAAGGGTTCCATGTATACAATATGTTTCTAATATAAAATCTATTTGAAATTTTAAAAGCTGATGGTAGTATGAGAAAGAGGGAATCTTACTTTGTAAGATTGGTAGAAGCCCAATAAAATCTCATTGTCAGACGCCACGTTGAATATATGTACGATTTGATAAATTTTGAAATGGAGTACTATCTACTACAGTTTTAAAGATATACCTGTGCCCAGTTGCGTAGGCAGTTTGTATATTGCATGTACATTAGGGTGGCTCTTATTTACTCTTGATCAACATTTTCTTCAAAAGTTTTCTCGCGGCACCCCGCAGAATAGTTCCAATGAATAAAACAATAATCTGTGCAAAATGTGAACTCAATAGAGTAACGGGAAAACGTGCCCCCAGGCTCTTAAACATTAAAATAATTAATTAAATACTTATACATCGGTTTCATTCGAATATCTTCTAAACTATTGACTAAATCAAAAAACGTATGGGACAAAACTTTTAGATCTAGATAGGACGCATCTTTTATGTTCTATTACTTTTTTTCGTACGACCAACGGTTTACGAATAAAATATAAAAAAGCCTGAAAAGAAACTAGAATTGTTTCTTCAATTTTGGAAGTTGTAGTGCGTTTTGATTATTCTGTATCAATGAAGACTAAAAAGATGTGTATTACTTATTTTCAACCCTAAAGGACTATTCTTTGGAAATTACGAAACTTTTTTAAAAATTTCGATAAATTTCTGTAAATTGTATTGAAAGTGTTTTGTATATTGTATGTAGTAACACGGAATAAGGTTAAATGGAAATAAATTGTTCATAACATTTTTCATTTTAATTTCAGTTTATTTACAAACGTGGGTTTCCAGTTAATGTCTCTTTTTTGTATCATGGAATCTTTCGCCGATAATAATTTACAATCTGTAAAACGTAGTCTTTATGTTCTTCATTCTTTGTAAATAATTTATTATATTCTTCCACTAGTTTAATCCCTCTCTCTGCTGTATCATTAACTACTCGAAGTTTATTTACTAACTCCAATGCTTTAATGAAACTTGTACTTTACGGATCAAGTTGAAGGATCAGTTGGTAAAAATTCATCATCTAACTCAAATCTTACAAAGAATTCTTTAGTTGTGTTCGTCATGAATTTATTGTTCAACCCCGTTTTCAAAAATTTCATTTATTTTGTCACTTTGTAATTGGATCCGCTTTATATCTTTGTTAGACATTAATTGGAAACCAACATTTATAAATAAACTGAAATTAAAATGAAAAATATTATGAACAATTTATTGTTCATTTAACCTTATTCCGTGTTATTATATAGAATGTACAAAACACTATCAATACAATTTTCAGAAATTTACCGCAATTTTTAAAAAAGTTTTTTAATTTCCTAAGAATAGTCCTTTAGGGTCAAAAATAAATAATATACATTTTTTTAGTCTTCCTTGATAAAGAATAATCGAAACACACTACGATTTCCAAAATTGAGACAGAATTTTTAGTTTTTTTCAGGCCTTTTGCAGTTTTTTTCGAAAACCATTCGTCGTAGGAAAAAAAGTAATACAACATAAAAGATGCGTCCTATCTAGATCTACGTTTTGTAATGTTTAAGAGCTTGGGGGCACGTTTCCCCGTTACCCTATTGAGCTCAAATTTCACACAGATTATTTTTTTATTAATTGGAACTATTCTGCGAGGTGCCGCGCACAAAATTCAAAAGTCGACAATAAGGACCACCCTAATGTACATACACATCTCATTGAAGCTGAGTCTTCAAACAGAAATCATTGACATGGTTTTAAATTCTTTTCAGCCGCACATAAGAATATGGACATCGGTCAGTTTAACGACCCTCTGCGTAATTGGCAACGGGGGTTTCGATGGTTCGATTTGTTGCCTCTCCTTTTCGAAGGCAGATGGTGGAAATTATTTGTGCGCCATCGATGAAACATCTGATCACAACATCTCGATCTGGGACTGGCAGAAAGGAGAACGGGGGACCAAAGTAACCGAGACAAAGGTACATTTTCATTAACATTTATGTATGGTAGTATCTGAATTATTACTTATTGACGAGAAAGAAATAACATTGTTATAAAAAGAAAATAATGTATAGGCGATGTAGAATTGAAAATAAACAAAAATTACGGTAACTGGAATGATTTTAATTAATATTAATTCTTGACACATTTAATTTGAGTTGAACTTGTTAAAAGAATGTTACATACACAATGTCCCAAAAGATTATCAAATAAACGAAAACAGTTGATGTTAATCCGTCCCCAAAAATTATTAAGGTTACTCTGTCGATATGTTACGCCCTTGTAGATTTTGACGAGACCTTTTTTAATTACTTTGTTATGACGTATATATAACCAGAAAAAAAATAAAAGCGGGCGGTCGGGTTCCAGTCGTGTTTGAAAAAATTAAATGCGTTTAAGAAAACAGGGGCTGCACTATAGTATAAGCTAATGTTGTTTATTGTTGAAACTGAGCGTCTACCAGAATATTAATTATTAATTATAGTGTTCTGTCGACACGGTGGTATGTGCCGAGTGGCATCCTCTTGAACGGAACCAAATCGTGTCCTGTGGAAAAGGGCACGTGTCCTTCTGGTCCCTCGACAACGGCGGTATGCTCTACAAACGAATGGGCGTTTTCGAGAGCAGGGAAAAACCGAGATACGTTACCTGCGTAGCTTTCAATCAAAGCGGTGACGTTCTCACCGGCGACAGCAATGGTAATATTATCGTTTGGGGCAGAGGTGAGAAATACTTTTTTAATTTCCAGTTTTGATATTACCGTCTTTTAAAATATATGATAAACATAAGTTAGAAAATTTATCCTCAGAGATGTTTTTCAAATCCGTAAAAAGTAACTTGAAGATATTTATATTATTAGAGATCTGTAAGTGGTTTATAGTAAGCATTACAGTAAATCTTCGATGAGTGTTCGAAGGTTCCTCGCCACTGAACATTAAATATTTCATAAACTATTGGCCGTATGCAGCTGAAACAAATATAATTAAGTTCAGAATTCCAAGCTCTATCGCTGCGTTAAACCTAATTAAAAACCCAACGTTACACCTGGGGACCTCTTCTTGTCAATGCGAGAAGCCTTCAAACACTTATTGAGGATGTGCTGTATCTCCAACAGTTCTTGTGAAGGATCTAAAAAGGTAGCTGAGCATTGTTACTATTAGTTTATTCGTATATGAATATTTCTTTTATTCAAATATAATAGAGTTTGTTGAGAAGAGTTGAACGGTGTGTCACATAACGTCATTGAGTGTAGTAGAAGGTCGCGAATTATTAAGATGTTAAGTAGTCAGATCAATGGCAATCGTCGGTCAGTTGCGACCCCGTAGCATGGTTATACGTTATACGTAGGATTTTCTAGCACAGGACCTGTGAATTCACGTTGATCTGACTCCGAATTTCACTAATTTACAACCTTCTACTACACTGACCCTATTTGAAACATCGTTGAACTCTTCTCAACGAACGCTATCATAGTATAACTAAAAATGTATAGCATTCCATTTAAAAAAAAATTAACTTCACCTTGAAATCTCCCTTACTACTGTATTTACAAACAGATTATTCATACCACATTATATCTCATTCATGCTGAACATCTTTTGTAGGAATATTTTTCTGTATTGTATATGCAGTGTCCCAGATGAAGCCCACCTAAATATCTACTTTCTTTCTAATGATATCAAAACTGTTTAAATCACAATTTAAATAGTTTCGAAAGGGGAATACCGTGAACGAATATATTTTTTTAAGGTAACTTTTGTGTATTTTTTCAAAGTCACCGGTATTTTGTTCGCAGAAAAGCATATACTTTTTTCTGTTGTATCTTGTAGCAGAAGGAAAACTGCATTCGAGCATGATTATGGTCTTCGCATGACCTTGAACACCAAAAGTATATACAAATTCTAACATAAGTCCTAAAACGTCAGAAAACATGATGAATCGAGTAATTGAAGCTTGTATTACTATTACATCAGAGATAATTTAAAGAGCATCACAATCCGTGATTACTCCTGTTAGAAAGGGTATCGCTGCCGATGGACATCACATTTAGCATTTGTAACATATGTATGTGAATCAGTAAGTTCACATACTACCTTAATAATACTATCTTAGAAGTGGATTACTTTCTTTATGTTGAAGGTCGTCTGGAGGTTATAACTTAGGCATGCTCAAATGCACTCTTTCATTTGCTACAAGATATAATAGCAAAAAATGTATGCTTTTCTGCAAGCAAAATATCGGTAGTCATAAAAAAAACACGAAAAAATCACCTTAAAAAATTTGTTTCTTCCACGGTATTCCTCTTTCGTAACCATGCAAATTGTACATTAAACGTTTCTTATAGTAGTAAAAAGAAAGGAGATATTTAGGTGTCCTCCTTCAGCTGGAACACCTTGTACACTTGTAAGACGGTGCACATTATTCTTTGAACGAAATATAGATGAACTGGGAAATTTGAACTGGCTCGACTGTTATGGGAGGCTGACAATTGATTTCCGGTAGGCTTTGACGCAGGTGCTGAGACGTCTGCGTCTGCTGTATGTCTTATAGAGTTAACGCCGTTACATCAATGTCTAATACTTGGGCTTAGAATGGAATCTATTGTATAGAATCTATTTTATTTTTGAAGTTCTATTCAATAAGACTATACCCAACGTGACGGGCCGTTCCCACCGATCAATAGTACATGTAACGAAAAATAGGCTCCTAAACAACGCTCAACGACTTATAAAAGCTCTCGAAAGTGTTAATACAGGTGGGGAAATTGAATTCCTGAAGGCTCCCTTTGGCACGATGCCGATCTTATATTTTTACAAGATGTGACTGATTGCACCTAAGGAATGAATTTGGAATCTGTATTGAGTTAACATGAATGAATATAGAGTTTCAGTTTAGTTACCGCATCGAACGGTTCTAAACATTGACCTAATGTTATATAATATTCTTTAATGGATCTATTTAAAGCTTAATTTAGAGTAATTATTGAATTAGTTAATGATACGTAAAGTAACCTACGTTGTTATCTTATTGTTTCGTGTAATTATAATTTAATAGAATTCTTAGAAAGTCGCTGGAATGTCATGCATTTGCTGACCTATGCCACCTGAATACAGGTCAATGACCAGGAATGTCGCAGCAGAATTTCTTACGACAAAACTTTAATAACGGGTGGGACATAAAAACCCACGTATATTCAAACTGAATTTTTGCACAATCGATATCCTTTACAAAAATACATATTCTATCCTTTCAATTAATTCTTATTGTATATCGAGTTACCTAATACTCCCATGTAGCATTCATATCGAGACGCACCAAAGAGTTTATCTGAATATCGCAATTTCTACAGTTCTACCGATTTGAATATACGGATTCCTCCCTGAAAGTCTTGTCCATCATTTTTGTTACACCCTCTATACAGATATGTCGTGTCTATATGTCTAATATTTTTATTTACCTTCATAAAGGAGGAACATTCTAACAAAACCAAGCATGATTTAACAGAAAAGAAGTGGATTTTATAGTTGCTATCAATTTACGTAAATTTGTAATAATTAAATAATTTCTATATATAAATTTACATGAATTGTGTAATATAAAAATACATATTTTAATGTTAAAAAAATAGTAATAATGTGAATAAGAACCATGAAATATTTGTAAATATTTTTTATACTAATTGTGAATACCTTACTTAATCATACTCCCAGAACATAAATGTCTTAAAGATAATTTCCATAGATTTATAACTTTCCAACGCTATTGTCAGAAAAAGGCATAAATATAATTTTCTCTCGTCATGTTTTTTCATTCATAACACTTAAATGTCTGCCACAGAAAATGCTAGTATCCTTCCGAGAAGTGTTAAAATTATATTTACAAGTTAATACAACATAACTGATACGTACATAGAATTGTAGTATACGTTTTAAACTTCCTTTTCACTGGTACTGTAGCTTGCTATAAAGTTCCATACAGATGTGCATACAGTGTCGGACCAAATGATAGGACATTTGATATATGTATATATTTAAATATTTCGTATCATTAAAAGAAGAAAATGTACATATTACACATCCTATACAGAGCTATAGTATACAGCTCGATTACACGCCCTGTATAGAGAGTGCCTCCGACAATTATGTACAAGCAGGCATAAGGTCATTCCTCATAAAAAGATAAGGAGAAGATATAGAATAAAATTTTTTCATTTGAGGCTTCGTTTTCGAGAAAATCAAATTTGGAAATCTACTGGATACGCGTGCAATTGACTAAGCAAAGGGCCGCAACATCTGGAACACAGATTTTGATGAGTTTTATGTATATGTTGTAGTGTAGGGGTAGTACTTTTTTTAAATGTAAATCAGGTCCAATTTGTACCTGAAATTAAAGCAAAAATATGTAACTGTGACCATACATCTTTTATTAGATGCGCATGGCGTTATGAATTTTATTGTTTTATTTGTTTTTACGATAAATGTCATACATTAGAATGTAAGAAATAGTACTTTATCTTTTAAGGAATAAAATGAGGAAAAATACATTTATACTTTCAACTAAAAAAACTGACCGCAATTGAGAATCGAACGGACAACAGTTCTGATGCGAGACCTATCCTTTACGAGTGCTGCTATTCGTTATTATGATAACCTTTGCTAACGCTTAAATTCTTAAATGCATCAATATCATTTTTTATTAATATTTTGGAAACGCTTCAGTGTTGGACCCAACATTGACACATATGTTGGTGTACTACACTTACACTACCAACATATGTATATGAGACTCATAAAAAATACATGTTCCAGATGTCGCGACCTTCCCATTAAGACTTAGCTACCGCGTCTGTTCATTGCATTCCGTTTCTACGTATTGCCAGCACAAAACACATGTTGCACATGGATCATCAAATTCGATTTTTCCAAAAACTGAACCTCGAATGAAAAAATGTTAATGCATATTTTCGACTTACTTTTTTACGTAGAATCACCCTCCTTCCCGGTTATACCACCCGTTCGGCCACAACTTGTGTACATTAATCACAGTACGTTGACGATATTACAAATTTTTTTGACGGTAACATGTTTAAAAAAAATTACTCGGAATATTGTCCTCTACAACATATTTGAATGTCATCAAAATCGGTGAGGTATGCCCTTTTTTGAATAATTACCAAAAAAAATCTAAAATCAAGTGTCCTATCATTTTGTTCGACCAAGGTCAGCTCATGTTTAGACTTTTTTCTGTACCTTCTTTCTTGTACACCACACAAACTTCTGATTTAGTATGGTCACTTGAGAGGACAGGTCGAATACACAGTCTGTGTATAAAACAAGTAAAGTGTAAAGAAATATTCAAATTAAAGAATTACAGAAATATTGAACAATTATTTGTGTAAAAGAAATATTCAAATATATCAAACGTCCTATTATGTTTCTCTTGAAAATTCATACAAATGTTCATTAATTATATAATAAAGATATTTTTCCGCAGGTACCAATACAATCTCCAAGTTAGTGAGGAACATTCACGAAGGGTCTATATTCTCGATTTGCGTTTTGAAAGATGGTTTAATTGTCACTGGCGGTGGCAAAGACGGTAAAATACTGTACTTCGACGAATCTTTGAATTTGACTGGGCAGGAAGCACAAGTAAGCTTTATAAAAACGAATTTTTACGAGCATATTCTACTTACCATACGGATGAGAAACGTTATCTAAATGTATGTCCGCACATGCTTTATTTCCAAAATACAGCGTCCCAAATTTCTTATGAGAGAAAATGTTCGAATGAAATTAAGAGTTCGAGAAGAGTTTAAAACATAGTTTCCCAACCTTTTTATACCTGACAAACCCCTTTTCAAAGTTTTTTTGTTCAGTGCCCCTTTCGGATAAACTATCTCCATTAGCAGAATTTTCAAGTGTAGTTGTGCGTGTAATCTTTGAATCTTAAAAAGTTGAATTGAGAATAAAGAAAACAAAACAATTGAACACTGCAATTTTAAAGCTATTTACTAAAATGAAGTAACAAAGAATTACCTAGAATTACGCAGAATCAAATAAAAAATATTAAAAAATAGTCATTACTGAGAAGTCTTGTCCTAGTGTGATGCTAGAATTTTGTCTATGTTTGGCTTTATTTTTGTCAGCAGATATACGCAGTCCGTTCTGCCTTTTCGTGAAAATATGTCAATTTATAACCGTACTACATCCACGTTCAATTATTGTAAATATAATGAGGCAAAGAATATAAAAAGGTTTTTATGACACAACAGAAAACCGCAGGTTCTATTACTTAATAAGAAAAATGAAAGAGAAACATTAAACTTTTTAATATATTATTTAAATAAATAATTTTGTGAAAAAGTTATTTACATAATTGGATTCCTCATTCAGATACACACGGTTTAAAAAAAATTTAGTGAACGTATGATTAGTTGTTTAGAAGAAAATTGAATGTCCAAAGATTTATCTGTTTCGTCTCACCGTGCAGCAATTTTTGGGTAAATTTTTAATAATTGTCCGACCTTCCTAAAGAAACAACGTTTTCAAATATGAGTGCTCTGTACGCGACACGTTTCGAGGCAGTATTCTTAAAAAAAAATCATTTGGGCACACTAATATATCGACCGGTATTGGGAGAACGTAATTTTTTTCGATGAAATTTCTTTTTCGGTGCGGATTTCTGTTAATCGTGTTTGGTCAACTTCATCAAACCGACTACTTCAAAGGATTGTGAACTATCCTGCACCACAGTTTCCTGATTATAAAAAAGAGACTTCGCCTGGAAGCCAACAGTTTCGATTAAACCTTGTTCTTATTACATATACTTTATCAACTTTCATTACAACAATTTAGTGAAACTTTGCAGTTTTCAAGAAATTTCTTAAACTTAATCAATAGTCCTTTAGGATTGAAAATACAAAATACACATTTTTTAAATCTTTTATTGGTTTATGAGGCTATTAAATAAACTGGTGAACACTATATTCGTTTCAATTACACAATTTATTCAAAGCACTCGGAAGGCGCGTCTTTATTCTCGAGGAAACTTCCAGAAGTGGCGAGCAACGCGACGCGATCAGAAAACAACGACATCACGTTTTTCAGGGACGATCGGTCCCGCTCGTAATGAAACAATGTATCGTTAGGAATGAAGTTGAATCTTCTCAAGCATTGAACAAAATATAATAGATCTTTTTGTATATATATATTCATTAATATTATAAAACCAACACGCCTCCTCAAAAAAATTAATCGATTATATTTAAAAAAAAAAAAAACACACCTTCCTTGTTACTTCTCTCCTCTGGGATAAGTTACATATGGTCCAACATTTGTTGCTTGGGATTAGGGAAAACCCAGAAAAACCTAATCAGACCATTATATTAAAAGTTACATACACTAGTATACTCGTTAATATTTATTGTTCTAAACCCATTCCAGTCCTGAGTTCCAGGAATTTGACTGCCGGTAATGGCTTCGTTAATGCATCGGCCAACTGATTACCTGTAGGAATATATTTCAGTTTTATTACATTTTTCTCAATCTGTTCTTTTGAGAAGTGATACTTTATATCGATATGTTTCGACCTCTTGTGACCAGTCGGATTATTTGCTATGCTGATACAGCCATTATTGTCCTCATAAATAATAATTGGATTTAAAACATTTAAATCGATACTATCTGCTAATGATTTTAACCATAATGCCTCCCTAACAGCTTCAAAAAGAGCCATGTACTCAGCTTCAGTAGATGAGGCTGCAACAGATACCTGCCTCCTTGTGTTCCAAGATATTGTACAACGCTCAAACAATTTGAATAAATATCCTGTTGTACTTTTTCTGTCATTGTTATCGTTTCCTCCCCAATCAGAATCAACATAGCCATTTAAAAATTCGTTATAATCACCTCGGACAAAAGTTAATTTAATATTAATTGATCCTTTAAGATATCTAAGTACTCTTTTTAAGCATTTCCACAGTTCTTCGTTATTTTTATTTAGGTATCGACTTAAAATATTCACAGCTGTGCTTAAATCAGGTCGAGTACAGAACATTACATACATCAAACGTCCAATAAGATTTCGACAAGGAGCGTCATGTTTCTTATCAGAGTTTAAGGCTGTATAATTTAATTTATTTTCAAGAGGCGTACTTACAGGTTTACATTCAGACATATTAAATTTATTCAAAATTGTTTGAATATATGCACTCTGGCTCATTATTATACTATCATTACTTCTTTCGATATTTATCCCCAGAAAAAATTTGATATCCTTTAAATCTACCATGCAAAATTTATTCATTAAATAATTTTTAAAGCTATTCATTACTTCTATATCAGCTGTAGCAATCACAAGATCATCTACATAAAGTGTCACATATATATTTTTCGATACATCTCTTTTATTTTTGAGATATAGATGCATCGATCTACAGAGGAATTTCGAAAGCCTTTACTTTTAAGTAAACAACTTAACATAAAACAACCCCCTCAGGAACTTTCATATAGATTTCCTCTTTCAATATACCATTTAGAAAAGCAGTTTTTACATCCATATGATGGACTAGTAAATTAAATTGATTGGAAAACGCCATTATAAATCTGAAACTTGATATTCTTGCAACTGGTGCCAATGTTTCTATCTGCCCTATATCTACAAACATTTGTTTATTCATTAATTCTAAAAATTTAGACTTTCCAATATGACCTAACCGTTGATGCCATAATTCATAACTATCTCTATCTTTACTATTTACTTGAACAATAGAATTCGCTTCATTTGAATTAACTATAAATTCAATTCCAGTTAAATTATTTAGTAGTTTACCTGTCATTATTACATTTCCATTTTTACTTATCTTAACGCTCTTTTCGTCAAAAGTAATGGTCATCCCGGCCTGCTGCATTCTTCGGACAGATAATAAATTATAGGGTACATCTGGACAATAGTAGACATTGTATTGTTCCTTGGATACCCATGTTGGTGGTAACATTTATCGTGCCCTTCTTAGTCGCTGTTATAAATTCCCCGTTTTTCGCCACGGAAATTTTTATTGGCATTTCCACTTCATTAAAATCTCCAGCTATATCTTCCCTGTTGACGAGGTGATCCGATGCTCCAGAATCGAGAAGAAATGTAATTTTGTTTCTATCACCGACTTCTGGTTGATAATCTCCGACCATAAATGCAAAACTTGATACATTTTCTTTTGATGTCGATGGTTGAGATAGTTGTATCGTTTGAACGGTTCTTGTATTCTTCTCAGCACTCTGGTGTTGAAGGCCTGTTCTTCTTGACCATACTTCTTGTACGATTTTGGGATTTCGAAGTTTCTTTTCTTTGCAATATTGCCTTTATTTGCTTCAAGCACTTTCATACTTGTGTCACGGCACTCGTTATTCAACTTCACTTCATGATCAAGTAGTCTCGTCTTTACGAACGCCAATGTTAAATTGTCCTCCGATAACGTTTCAATTGCAGTTATTACACCGTCATAGAATGTAGGCAATGTTAGCAATAAATGCGACACTTTGTCAGTTTCTTCTAATTTTGCACCCGCTGCTGATAGTTCCGATAACAAATCATCGAACACTGTAGAGTGTCTTATCAATGACGTATCAGTTTGTAATTTTAAACTTAATAATTTTTTTCGTAAAGCTAATTGTGTGGCTAGACTTTTACGTTCATAAATAGCATCCAAATCATGCAACACCTGTCTAGCACTATTATTTGTTTGTACAAAGCTAAGGAAAGAGTCTGATAAATATTCTTTGTTATGGTTATAGAATTTGGTTATGGAATTTGGTTATCCATAACTTTAATTACGTTTAGCTCAGTTAACAAAGCACGAATTCTAAATTTCCAGAGGCTATTGTATTTTCCACCGTCAAAAGCTTTAATGTTTCTTTTTATATTTAAACCCTCCATTGTCTTTTACAGTAACAAACGTTTACACACAAAGATTACACTAAGATGCACGCGAATATAAATGTACGATAGTTTCAGTTTTATTATTTAGTCTTCTCGTTTTCCTTTTTCTTTTTTTACACACACAATTTACAACATGTCTGGGCCCATAACCTATTGGATTATGAGACTATTAAATAAACTCTGGTGAACACTATATTCGTTTCAATTACACAATTATTCAAAGCACTCGGAAGGCGCGTCTTTATTCTCGAGGAAACTTCCAGAAGTGGCGAGCAACGCGACGCGATCAGAAAACAACGACATCACGTTTTTCAGGGACGATCGGTCCCGCTCGTAACGAAACAATGTATCGTTAGGAATGAAGTTGAATCTTCTCAAGCATTGAACAAAATATAATAAATCTTTTTGTATATATATATATATTCATTAATATTATAAAACCAACATCTTTATAGATAAGAAACGTTCAGAGCACATTTGAATTTTCAAAATTAAAAAAATGTTCAATTTTTTCCAGATTTTTGTTATTTTTACCGAAAATCGTTTGTGGCACGAAAAAAAGTAGTAGAATATCAAAGATACTCCTTATCTAGATCTACAACTTTTATCTGGCATATCTTTTGATATAATCCATAACTTACAGGACAATCGAATAACGACATTATGTGCGTTTAAATAATCATTTAAACGTTGAAGGACTCAGGGGCTGCTTTTCCCCTTATCCAATCAAGCCCAAATTTTACACAGATTTTTTTGATTAATCGGAACTATTCTGAGGGGTGGCGGGAAAGAAACTTTGAAAAGAAAACATCATCAACAGTAAATAAGAACCACTCTAATGTATAACCATTCTTTCAGTCTTGTTGTACAAAGAAACGAACATGTATGCGTTTATACAGTAGATTGTTGTCATTTGTAAAATAGATTGTTCAATGCAATTTTTTTAACTGTTAATGGTGTATTGTATTTATTAGATCGAGGACCACTTTGGAGGAATCCGTACGCTTGCAGAAGGTAGAGGTACACAATTATTAATTGGAACAACGCGGAATTGCATTTTAGTCGGCGATGTAGGAATGGGATTCAATCCAGCCATGCTTGGTCACGCTGAGGAGGTTTGGGGCCTCGCTGCGCACCCAACTTTGCCGCAATTTGCAACAGCTGGCCACGACAGACTTTTGCAGATGTGGGACAGCCTAAGTCATACCGTTGTTTGGAGTAAAGACATTGGAGTTAGTACAAATTGTTTTATAATAAATTTATTAAGTTTCTTTCGAAAGACAATGCACAAAATTTGTAAAATATCGTTTTACATAAACAGCAATTTCACGAAAAGATTTATCATCTTAAATTTTGGCTGTTTCGAAATTTTATAACTAATTTTATACCTCGAATTCTAATGCAATTGGATGTCTAAACTACTTGTACATACATTAATATTATACAGTTGTGTCATTATCTGTCACAGTTTTATTTAAACCAAATGTATTAGACTTACCGATATAAAAGTTGCATGTGCATTAAATTTACTGTTGACGACAATAAAGGTTTCTTGTCTTTGTAACGTCTATTTTGAAATACAAATTACTCAACGTAATGTATTAACATGAATTATTTAACTCGAGTTTTCATGAAAAACTGTTTCTCATATCTTATGTAAACATTATTAGATTCTATAATTACAAGATTTCAAAGAAATATGAACTATGTATCTTTTGAACAAAAATTATTTCACTAGTGAAGTGATTATTATATTAATTACAGAAAAGTAACGACCATGTGTTTTGTTTTACGAAATGGCAAATAGAGTATAATGTATTAATTACATAAAGAAATGAAGTCGGACTCTTTTGGTTTAGGAACAAGCCCAAAGTCTTGGTTTTTCTCCAGATGGTAATGTGATAGTAGTTGGATGCACTTCCGGAAAATGGTTAGCGATCGACAGTGAGACCCGAGAATTGTATACCCATCATAGCGATGGGACAGAACCGATTCAGGTACAAAGTTTATTCATCTCTTTATTTTACACGCGTTAGTATTTTATTATATGTATGATATATACCAATAAGTAAGAACCAGTATTTTTCCAGTGATTTAAACGAGCTGTATTCTTCGAAATTGTAGAAACATATAAGATGCGGTAAAATTAGTTGTACAAGAAAATGAAATGATTCTGCATGTAAAAACAAATCTGTTATACAAGTTAATATAGTTTAATCAAGAAGAATGTGTCATTTAGAAAATGTCATGTATTGTACATTTAACTTGCAGGTGGTGCGATTTTCACCAGATGGTACGTTGTTAGCACTTGGTTCCAGAGACAATTACATTTACATTTATCAAGTTAATGGAGATGCAACCAAATATAGTCGAGTCGGGCGATGTATGGTAAGAATCATTTCTATTGAATCAATTTCTAATAAACATTATTCACTTTACGATTTTAGTAATCTAATTGTGTAACTGGAAATACGGTAAATACTTCCTTTCGGAAAAGTATTAGACACTCCACAAAGTTCATACAGTTTTCATACTTTAGAAACTAAAATCTATTATGCAGTCATTTCAGTTCTTTTTTTTACCATTTATGAAAACTGAGTTACGAGAAACAGGAGACCAAAACATTTTTATGAGAGTCGTAGACGTAAGACTCGCAATTCAGAATTCCCATGTATTAATTTTTCATTCTTCATGTTTTTCAGTTGTAATTACCCTGTTTTCGATTGCACAATGATTTATGTATGTATATGTATATTTATAACTAGCAAAACACAGTGTTGCTTGTATTTATAACATAAAATCAACGTTGAAATGATCATAACTATTGTCACTGCTGTACAATTTGCTTCTACATACATTGCCGATGAAAAGTTTTCGACCACCATCTGCTTTCTCAAATATGCTCCTTAATACAGGGGGTTGTTCTAAAACAGTTGTTGGAAAACCAGTTTTATTCGTTAATATGGTATCCTACGTATGTATATGTATAGTTCCCTACCCAGTCATCAAAACCTGCAAAACCAAATTTTGTCCAATGCCTGTTATAAAGTTGACAACTTCGATGCAAGATTTGCTATAAACAACTTGTGCGCAGATTGGCAGCAATATAGGCAGCAAATTGACAGCAACAAATGCAGCAAATTGGCTTGGGCAACCCTTGTTCCAATTTTGCCCTCAATTGAACATAGGTCATGTTGCAAGATTTTTTGCCAATTTGCTTTACCATTTTGTCAGCTGGCGTTGCCTGCAATACCCAAGTCAAATGCCGAACCAGATGGCTATGGTTTTTTCAACAACTTTTTGCCATTTATTGTTGGCAGTTTGCTTGAAACTTGTACACAACTGGTTATCAGGGCTAGGTTTTATGACTGTTCATAGTACTTTAATCCAATTCAATCGCTATAAGAGTAATGTAATTACACGAAGATGCCTTTTTTGTCTTATTTTGGAGTAGAATGCATGGTACAAGTAGGTAGTTGTTATAATAACAATCTTCACGTATGTGATACGTATTGTTTGAAAATGTAAAATAAAGTTTCTAACGTCAAATCACACTATCTTTACAATTATTATGTTTAATAAAGGCACACAGTAAAATTTCTTGTTATTTTTCTTAATAAAATGTGTTGACGAAGTTGAAGGAATAACAGGACTGCGAATAACGAAACGCGATATACGAAAATATACTTTTAATGCACTTGAGATTAATGGATACAGAATTGCACGTTGTCTTATTATGGACGCTACAACGAAGCGCGTTAGAGACCGGTAACGCGGAACACAGAATGTGGCTAACAGCCCGATGCCGCCAGATGACATTGCTTACGCGCATCGTACGCGGATCGTACAAGGAAAACGCTTTTCCAAAAAATATAAATCCGTTGCAATTCAGTTCCTCATTTTGATTAATTCACATGTTCGTTATAAGAAATGAAGTGGTCGGAATCTTTTCGCCGGCAGTGTACGTGTGTACCATGTTCTATAACTTAAACAAGTTGATATTGACGTAACTGCTTAATTATGCTATTTAATTATTCACGTTTAAACTTCTCGGTGTATATTTCATTAACATTCATGATTCGTATAGACTATTCCTTGAATATTCCTTTAACCCGATCGACGTTTTTTAGTTAAACGGATAAAAGTGTCGACTATCAATAAGTTGAATGAAACTAATACAAAATTCAATTCTATATTTTCATGTTATCGTATATGAAAAAATAAAATTCAGAAATTTGTATTTATACAAATTCTGATTATTTGTAAACCGTGTATACATACATACATGTTTTACAGACATGTGTTTCAGAAAAGACGATTATCTGTATAAAAATGTATTTTAAAAAGACAAGACACGAAGAAATACATGTTTCCAAAAAATTAAGTTTTACTAAAAACCAGCTATAACTTGATTATACAAAAATATCCGAAAAGGGTACAGCTTGACATTCAGAAAGTATTATACTTTTAAAATATCAGAATAGTATTGATATAAGAATAGTATTATTGAAAATGTACTCAAAGCAATGTTACGCAGTAATTTCAATGAGACGTTAATTACTGCTTTTGTTAGTATAGGGTATTCAAAGTTACAAATATTACTTAATGTTCCTTTTTTTCTTCATTTCTAGCCGAAGCGGATCCGCAGGCGTAGAGTAAGACATGTTTTCGTTACTCAACAATGGAAAAGAGACATTATGTTAACCGAAAAAGTATGGCTTCTTAAAATTATCAAAGTACATTTCAGACGTAGGTTACTCATTGAAAAACGATACAGTAGAATAGCATGTGATCAATAATCTTCTTTTAAAATACTGTATAATAATTTGCATTCATTATTGTCATTATATAATTAAAAAATAATTTTATTTATTTAAACACAGAATTGAAAATAAACGTAAAATAATTATTTGATAAATATTCTCCATCGTATTAACTTTCAAAATTTAAATTGTAAATTCTGTAACAAAATTATATATTCACTATAAATATTTCAAATTTATTTAAAATTAAACGTATTCAAAATTGTATGTAATTATTTATTTGGTGTCAATATATCTGCATCGTCTTTATAAGTGGGAGATGATTTTAAATACATTTGTTTCAAATGTAAGTAAATACGTCATGTCCTCATAAAATGATGGCTACGTAATGAAAGATATAGTTTTTGGTGTATTAGACTTTTACTTAATTAAGATATTGAATGTGTCACTAATTACCCCGATGAACGTAATGCTATTTGAAAATATACATCGCTAATATTCAGCAATGTATCCTGAGCTACTTAATTTTAAGAACTTCAGATATCTTCTGAATTTACTATAATTATAACAATTACTATAATTATAATACAATTAGTAGTCATAAGAGCATACAATCACATCGATAACATAATGTCTCTGACAATTAAGCAATATTATTATTGCTATTCATAGTCATGTATAAGCTGACGTTTTCATTTCATGATTGCTAAATATGAGCACGCACAATAGTCACTGTTTGCACAAATTGTTATTAATCCACTTATAGCGACTGCTTCAAATTTACTACATGCCAGTCGTTGCGAAAAAAAGTTACATAATTATTCTTTTTTTCAAGACGAATATAAACTTAGTATACGAAGTAATAAGGAAACATGTTTTCTCAATCTAAACGTGAAAATATATATTTCAGGGTCATTCGAGTTTTGTAACTCATATAGACTGGTCAGTGGATGGACAATATTTACGTAGTAACAGCGGAGACTACGAAATACTATATTGTAAGTAAATCAACTATTATTCATACATCACTTTGTACGGTGGCAAATAGTGTTATTGAAATTAATTTTTTTTCTTACTGAAGTATGAAAAACAGTTAATACTAGAAGTAGAATCATCTGGAATATGTCCGTTATGTATAGAGGATATAGTGAAACTTTACTCACAAAACATTCACGATACCGAGAGGAAGCATTACATACTAGTAATCATTTTTTTGCGGGTGGAAGATTTTCGAGGATTTCTAAGTCAATTCTATTTTCTTTTTCAAATCGAATAATATATTTTTTATCCCTAGTGGAATAACGGATGTTTAGACAATTTTAAGTACCCATAAGATAAGGTCACTCGCTACTAAGGGGGGAGACTCCTTTGGGGCCAACTCCGAATCGATCGAAGCGCTGATGTAAACAATCGGACGCTAGCGGAAACACATAATCAATATTTTTTTTTTTATAATTTAAAACCCTAGACCTTACAAGGTCTATTGGAGTATCATGTCAGGTACAGAAATAGGAACTTTGTTACATATCAATATGTAGATGTTTATAACTATTCATACCTTAACTCCTAATTAATATACCTTAAAATATTGACGAACATTTGTATAGAAAATTACGAATAACAATAATAATTATAATAATAATAACAATAGTGTTGGTCTTAAATCTTACATACCAGTCTCGATGTGTATTTTAGTTTCTTTGGTTCCAAGGTGTAATATTGCACATTGAAGTCAGAAATATTCTAGGTATTGTCTAATTTGTAACTACTTATATCTAAAGCTTAATATTATATGCCTCACAAAAAGCATTGATAATTCTCAGTACCCCAATATTGGGACCTTTGAGAAATGTTGTAATGCAGTAAGGAGGGGTCCAATTGGTTTCTCTAAGTTTATGGAGTAGAGTTTTTCGGTGGTCCGAAAATTTTGGGCAGTTCCATAACAAGTGGTTGAAATCTTGATATGGGTATGAACACTCACATTGCGGATCTAGTTTTATTCCAGTTCTGGCTAGTGAGGCTGCTGCATTATAGTGGTTGGATCTAATTCTAGTGAATCTCACTATAAATTCCCTTGGAAGATCCAGGCTATGAAACCATGGTTTTTTCCTTGCTTCATAGTATATACTGTATAGGGTTCCCTTAGATTGAAATTCTTGCTGTAGAAATATTTGAAAGTCTTGCCACATTTTTTGCTTGTAGGTTTCCTTGAAGTCAGTGTGTGGAACTTTGTACATTGGAGAGTATTCTTTGTTGGTGGCTTCTTTGGCTAAGAGGTCTGCCTCTTCGTTGCCTAGGATTCCGCAGTGTGATGGGATCCATAGCAGTGCAATATTTTGAGTTCCGTCACATAGTTGCTTGAATTGTGCTATTTGATTTTGTATTTTCTGGATGTAGCAGTTTGTTTGGACTGAGAAGTCTATTTTTTTGACTCCCAATATGGCACTAAGTGAGTCCGAACATATTAAGTATGAGTTGTTAAGGTTTTTTGTGGCAAGATCTATGGCTTCAGATATGGCGATGCACTCAGTTGTAAAAACTGAGGCATGATGGTTTATACTGATGGCGTTTTTGTGATTGAGATCAGGGCAGTACACTGCCGCTCCAGTGGAAGCTCTTCCTTCCTGTTTGGAACCGTCAGTGTATATGCATATATAGTACTTATATTTATTTTCTATGATATCAGCTAATTCCTGATTAATGTTGGGAGATGTTTGCAGTTGTAACCCTGATGTTGTATTGCATACAGTTTCAGACATTATGGAGGAATATGTTATGCTGTTACAGGAGAAGTTAGAGTCTTGATGGTGAATATATTCATACTCAATAGTTTCAGCTATGCAATTGGATATTGGTTTGTCAACGTAAGCACTAATTTTCCCTTCTAGAGATGATATAATTTTTCCATAATCCTTAATATATCTATAAGTAGTGTGTGTTGTGTTTGAGAGGATTTTACTAAAGTATGCTTTGCCTAAGTATTCTGTTCTTGCTTTTAGGTTGGGTAACCCTGACTCTGCTAATACTACATTATTTGGAGTACTTGTCCTTAGTCCCAATGCTAATTTGATGGCTGTGGTTTGAATTGATTCAATTTTATTTGTAAGGTAACTTTTAGCTGGGTAATAGTTAAAACTGGCGTAGTCAATTCTGGATCTGATGAGTGACGTGTAGATGGTTATTAAAGTTCCTGGATTGGAACCCCACCATACTCCTCTGAGGTATTTAATGATGTTCATGCACTTAAAGCTTTGCTTCCTTATGTGGTCGATGTGCTGTCTGAATGAGAGCTTGGAGTCGAAGTAAATTCCGAGGAATTTAACAAAGGTTTTGTTGGATTGTATGAATGGCCCTACTTTGAACGTAATCTCACCTGGGTGGTGTATTTTATTGTTAAAAACTAGGAACTATGTTTTTGTTGGGGATAAGTCTAAACCTATTGCGTATAGATTTTTGTAGATTGTATTAATACCTTGTTCAATCGATGCCTTGGCTTCGTCTAATAGAGGGTATTTTGTATAGATTGCAATGTCGTCTGCATATTGGGAGACTTGTAATTCTTCAGAGAGGTTATCCATTATTTTTGAGATATAGATGTTATATAGTATAGGACTTAGTACCCCTCCCTGAGGTAGGCCTCTATATAGAATCCTCTGGCTATTATCTATAGTGAAAGTGGCTGTTCGACAATAGATCCAATTAGCTATGAAATTTAGAGGTCTTGGTGACATTCCAATGTCTGCTAGTTTTTTTAGAAGGATGTCACCCAACACGTTATCGAAAGCCGCGCTGACGTCCAGAAAGGCAGCGACCGTATGTTGTTTCTGGATCATTCCAGTTTGGGAGTAGAGAGTTAAATTTGTCAGGTTGTCTATGCATGATCGTCCTTTTCGAAAACCAGATTGAGAGGTAGGAATGATGTTGTGATATTCACACCACCAGTGTAGTCTAGTATTGAGCATTCTTTCAAATAGTTTGCACATGCAAGAAGCAAGCGTGATGGGTCTGAAGCTGATGCCATCTGATTTCTTGATTAATAGTACCTGGCATTTGGTCCATTCTTCTGGGATGGTATGTGTGACGTATATGTCGTTAAGGATGTCCAGGAGGAAGAGCTTACACCTTGTGGATAGGTGTTTTATCATATTGTAATCGATGTTGTCAGGTCCAGGTGCAGAGTCTTGTTTGGTTTTTTCTATTGCGTGTGTCGTTTCCATGAAGCTAAACGGTGCATCAAAAAATTCGTTTTCTTAAGAGTGTATGTTAAAGATAGGATTGACCGGGACCCATGGAGGGCAGATCTTGTTTATTGTTTTGGAGGCTTCTGTGGTTTTTGTTGTTGAATTCATGTGGTTGTTGTGTTTGATGTTTGCCCATTTAGATTTGAGAATCTTTATTGTGTTCCAGAAGTGAGTCGGGGATGTTCTGTGATTCAGTTTGGACGCAAGCAATTTAAAGTGTTCCTTCTTTTTATTCTTAATTAGTTTTTCTGGCGATTGCTGTTTGTTTTTTATATTCTACCCAGTTCGATATTGTAAGTCTGTGTTTCCACTTTTTGAATGCTGCCTTTCTGAGTCTTATTTGTTTGTCGTATTCATTGTCCCACCATGCGACGGGATTTCTATGAAGTCTTGGTGATAGGTTTTTTGGTTTCGGAGTGCTATCTTTAACTGCAGCAATCATTATATCTGTGAAGTGTTTATATGCATCTATTGTGTCGAGGTTAGGACCCGTAATTAGATGATCATATTGATTATCTACTACAGTTTGATAATATGACCAGTTGGTTTTTTTGGAAGAGATTCTGTTGGTTTGTTTCCTGTATGAATATTTGTTGACACAGACTGATATATGTAGAGGGTAATGATCAGAGCTTTGTGTTTCTTCATGTGATGTCACTGTAGTTAAGCTTGTGAGTTGTGACGATGTGAGGACTAGGTCTAGACTACTTGAGGTATTGATTTCTTATATTTATGTATGAAGTTGTGTTAAAATTGATTCCAGGTGATATGATGGGCATTGAAGTCGCCCGCGACGATAAATGGTCCTAGTTATTTTAATTGTTTCAAGAGATCATCTGTCACACCTGGTAGCAGTTTGTGCCTTGGAGATCTATAGCAGGCAGCAATAGTGATTTTTTGGCTGAGGTTGTTTAGCCGAATGCAGCTTAGCTCCAGATTAGGATCATGATTAATTGGGTTATTGTGAATGTTGTATGTTAGACATTTGGATACACATATCATTACTCCTCCTCCACGGTATGTGCTTCTGTCATTCCTAATAATATTAAATCCTGGCAGGTTGAATTTCATATTAGGTTTGAGCCATGTTTCTACAAATATAATTATGTCAGCTGTCTTAGTGAGTTGTATTAAATCCAGTTTTTTATTATTGATGCTTCTACAGTTCCAAAGTATTATATTGAGACTGTCTGCCATGTTATTTCTTCTTGAGGTTTGCTTTATATTGTCTAATAACAGGCGCTGACCTACTTGTATCATTGGCATCTACTTTTTTCTTTTCAGTAGCTGTGGCATTTGGCATGGGTTTTAACTTATTACTCGTGCTGGGTTTATTTAGTTCCGTGGAGCTAAATGATCTGGTTCCCTTGCTGGCAACAAAGTTGCTTACGTTACTATTGGTTCCTGCGATCATAGGTGCTGTCCACACCGTTGTTTCTGTTTTTGGTCTAGCTTGACCTCCAATGGTCTTCATGGTGATAATTTTTTTATTGTTCGGTTTTTCGAGGGCAGGAAAGTTTTCACTTGTTAATTGAGTGGAAGGAGTAGCTCTAGGGGGGGGGGGTGTTATACCTTGTTTTAAAATCCTTCTTGCCTCTGGAGCGCTTGAATTAGTATATGCCATTTCATTATTAATTTCCCTTTGGAATAAGTATTCTGGGCATGAAAAGCTTAGTGTGGGATGGTCATCCTGGCACTTAGGTGTTTCGCTAAGAGGGCAAGATTCCCTATTGTGGTCATTTTGTCCACACGTTCTA